CTCGGTCTTGATGACAATTTGACTTGGCGCGGGTCACCGTGGCTTTCGCTCTCTTGACCTTTTTCAACACAGCGGCGAAGGAGGTGTTGAAGAACCCCTTTGCAAATTGTTGCCGTTTTGATGTGAGGTGAGGGAAAGTGATCTGGGAGAGGGATTTGTTCATGTCTGCAAATATTCCTCGCTGCTTTTTTTGTTTTTTTTTCACATCATTAGAGGTGAGGTTTGGGCTGGGGAGGCCTCCTGGGAGGCCCGCAGCTCCGAAACATCTCGGGGAAGAGCTTCCAGATGGGACGTTGTCAGCGTCAGCGACACTCACTGTGGATGAGCTGTGTGTGTGTGTGTGTGTGTGTGTGTGTGTGTGTGTGTGTGTGTGTGTGTGTGTGTGTGTGTGTGTGTGTGTGTGTGTGTGTGTGTGTGTTGGGGCGGGGGACGTTTGGGGTCACTTCCTGAGTGACAGGCTCTCCGTGTAAATGAGTACATCACTCAGGGAGTGACAAGAAAAATAATCATCACTTCAATAGGAACTTGTCTTTGAGTCTGCAGAGGACGATGGTGACGACAAAAGAGACGTTGTGTCGGTGGGGGGGGGAGGCATCATTTCGGCATCGCATGGCTTCTACCATTTTTGTTCCACAAAAATCCAATTTTACCTCTCTTTAGCAGCAATCCTCCAAAAGGTACGGTACATTTGCAACTTATAGTTTACTCACTCACTGTGTGTGTGCAGGGCCTGCATCCACATTCTAAAAAAATAATTACAAAAAAGAATACATATATGTCCAATTTTTTGGTGGGGGTTGTCAACAACAGACTCACAAATTTCAGTCCATTTCAATTGAAAATGGATCCGACATGAGCAAAATTGTACTTTGAGTTCTTAATTCCGACCTGGCAAAAAAATAAAATAAAATAAAACACAACCGCTCAGGATATTAAAAAATGTGGAAGTTGGGGCATTCTTAAATCAGCGTACCGTGTCATGGTGAGTATTCACCTGTCCATCACATTGAAATAGTGTCTCTCTCTCTCTCTGTTTCTCTCTCTCTCTCACACACACACGCACATTTTTCCTGCACTGGCAGCACACAGCGACTAAATTGTGTGTAATGAGTCTAATTCCCAGGATTCCGAGCGTGTGAGGGTGCATGTCTGGCCAAAGTGCGTGCTCAAGTCTGTTTTTTTGTGGTGCGTCTGCGGGCCATATGGAACCCAACTGGCCGCCGGCCCCCGCAAAAAAAAAAAAGTGGAAGCCCAGCTGGATTAAACGTAGCCTGCTTGAATTCCTAAAAAGAATCGAACGTCCGGCTCGGAACACCTCCGAGCAGGCGGGCTGGGGCACACGTGGAGGAAAGCTGCTGGAAATAAGGTGCCTTCACGTTTGAAAGCTCACAAATCCACAACACGCTTTTTACAGATCCTATATTACCGGAATTCTTGGTAAAAGAAAATCTTCTGAATTAGGACAAGATGGGAGTTCAGAAGGGGGGAAAAAAAAGGCGTCACGCAAAGGACACGTATGAGGAAAGAAATTCAAAATAAAAAACACAACTCGTCATATAAGTCTGTTGTTTTTTTAATATAATGACAAAGGTCATTATATCGACCTACTGGCAGCAGTAGAAAACAGATGGCTCCTTAGTAAGTTGCAGTAATATTGGAGTTCTTCATTGAGGATAAAGAATATATTTCTGTCTTGTTTTCTGTTGACATGTGTTATGCTACCGTTTATGCTCAAATATCCGTTGCCTAAAGGGTTACAACAATTCAACACCGATGCTATTCATTAGCCCACCAATGGAGCTTTGTAGGGTTTGTTAGCATTAAGCCCTGATGTTTTTGTTTAGTTTGACAGTAAACCTCGCATGGAAGTGTCAAAACACAGCTTGAAGGATCTTTTTTTGGAGAATTGTTCACTATCTGGCAAACTCCTGCTTGCTGTGAAATGAGTTCAGTTGGGTTCACTCTCGCCAAAAAGCGCTCGTATTGTGTCTCAATTTTTGTTGCCTGCAAATCAAAACCAACAATTGTATCTCAAAAAACGTGACATTTACATTTCACGGCACCACTGTATCGTCATTTAAAAAAAAAAAAAAGGTAATCCAAATTATGGTTTTATTTTCAGTGTACTCGCATAGGAACCCTGTGGAATGCCCCAAACATGGCCTTGGATTCAGTCCTTTAAGCACATGCCAACCAGATGCATAAGGCCCTTCAAAGAAACAAATTAGGGCCAATTATTGCAACATATAAATGAATTTCATCCATGATTAAGCATGTTTGTGCCGTCCAGGTGTTTGTAATCCCGGCGGCGCGCTCAGAAAGCTGTTTATACAGGAAAATACCCGCTTTGCTCCCCTTTTTCCCCCCCCCCCCCATCCCGTTGCCCATGCTCACTCGCCCCCCACCGGCGAACGCATCTGTCCCTCGATACCTCTTTAATGAAGGTCATTGGTTTTAATAGCCTCATTTCAAACGCCGCTAATTAGAGCTGGCCGGGCACTTGAGCTTTGTCGGCTTCGGCAAATAAACAACGCCACCCGACCTCTACAACCAAACACACCAGGGAGGAAATTGTAACGTTTTGGTTTTTGTGCTCTCTTTTCTCCTTCTTCATCTCCAGGAAAGCAAACCAGGTTCCAACAGGTGTTGTTGAAGTCTTTTTTTCTTTTTTTTTTTGGTCGGATGTTTTTCTCTCCCGGTTTAGCTCCAGACTCCCCGACCAGGTTGTACGGTTGCCGCAATTATGGATTATGTATGTTGGCCCAACCCCGGCTGCACATTACATTTCTATCACAACTTCCCAACGTGAAATATAACCCGTGCGTCCAAATGAAGTGGCCCATCCATGCTTGTGTGGCTGCTTTAGAGTGCCTCGTTGTTGACGAAAAACGGAAGCGCGCGACGGGGGCTAACCAACGGTTGGATACATTTTAAAAGCCCAATTTGACAGCCACCGTGTGGACGGAGGCTTTGAGCAAGCGTGGTCACTTTCGAGCGCCTCATTGTCATGGCCCGAAAAAGTTCTGTGGGAACCTGATGGGATACATTTGAGCCAAAGGGTTTACGGCATATTTTTGCAGTCCAAACATGTCAGGTTCTGTTGACATAAAAAAGACGA